GCACAACTTGGCACATCATCTGTAAAAAATGTAAATAATTTCGTGTTGGTAGAACTTTATAAATATTGTTGCATTACCATTCGTAGATGGATCCGCATCAGAACTGCTTTCTGCTGGTGGGCCTGCGTCTCGAGAAACCCCTTCCAGCTCTTCGTTGTCGAGCACGAAATCGGGATTTATACCTCTTTGCTCGCCAAGCACTTTCTCCAATTCACTGCAAAACATTTAAATTATGTACATGAAAAATAGTAAATTTATAATTGCTTGGTTCTCGTATGGACACGTCAGCCTATTTCTGCCTGTTTGTTTGTTGTGCAGATTCGTCTTCTTAAAATTGCGCTCCATTGTTCGAAATTTATTATCAATCTGCGCTGTTGTGAAGATATACCCTTGCTCTGCCATACGCTCAGTTATAAGTTTCCACATTTTAGTTTTATTTTTAACGATGCGCTCTTCCCCACTTTAGGCCGTAGCTCCTCGATTAACGTAAGCATTAGCTTTACTGGGGCTTCAACCCACGCCTGCTTCTCAGCCGAGCCTGAGTTTTCTTCGGATGGGAGCGTTTCCACATTTCGTTGTGGGCTTTGCATTACCACTGCTTCTACTGGATTTTGGGCCTCTTGTTCATACAATGCATTGTGAACCTCTTGTGCATCCACTGAATTCTGAGCCTCTTGAACTTGGCCCATTAGCTGCGTTGAGAAGATTACTTCGTTATAATCTTTCCGATTTTCCAGCACTTGGGTGGCTAACTGTTGCCGGTAAACTTCATCTGGAAAAAGTGCATGCATGTACGTAAAGCCATAATTTGTGTTACTTTCTATAAAAAAACTTACCATTTTGGATGCGCGAGAAAGTTCCTGGTGAACAAGTCACATTAAGCTGCGAATTATTCATTTTTAGTTAAAATTATACAGCTGAACAACGATCGAAACAAAATGACATTTCTATTTGACATTAGTTTTGTTGTTGCCATTCTTCGGACTAAAAATTTGGTTTTTTGCCTTCCTTTACTTTTCCCTGTTATTCTCTTTTAGTGAGCGCATTTTTCTTACGCTCTTGCATTTTGACACTTTTCAGATTTTAGTCCGAGAAGATAAGGAATGGACCTATTATTAACTACGCAAATTACAGCATAACTATCGGCATTGGGACAGAAAGCACAAAAATAGCAATTTTGGACGGTTAAAATACCGAAACTTTAGTAATTCCTCCAAGATGTGAAGTTTTTCGTTTATTTAAATTTACTCATTCCAACAACCCTATTTTTGTAGACTCTCACGAGCTTTGTTC